AGTGATTGCAAAGATCAGTGGATACGCCGATGCTGCTCAGGTACTGTAGAAGTTTTATATATCTGAACAAGATTGTAGAGCTTTAAAGTGCATTTTTGTTTTCATATCATTCATACCAATATGCTTACATGAGATTGACTGCACAGGCACCAGAACTATTTACAACAGCTCCGGCTCTTGCGATTCCAAAAGCTATTTCAAATGCTGGGTTGGAAGCTTCTCAAATTGACTTCTATGAAATTAATGAAGCCTTTGCTGTAAGCTATCATAATTTGTGGCAATCTTTAAAATAGGGTAAAGCATCTCAAGGCTGCGAATATTAATTGGAACGATTTTATGTGTACAGGTTGTGGCTCTTGCAAATCAGAAACTTCTTGGACTTAACCCAGTGAGTTCTCTCTCTCTGACCGAATGCTTAGAATGAATCCAATTTAATTTTTGTTTAATTAAGCAGTCTCAACTCCTTCTGTCGGGCTTTTACCAGCATAGGAATCCGCATTTGTTCCTTAACTCATTTTCTGTTCTGATTTCAGGAAAAAGTTAATGTGCATGGTGGAGCTGTAGCATTGGGACATCCTCTTGGTTGCAGTGGAGCTCGTATCTTGGTCACCCTTTTAGGGGTACATTTCACTTCCTATTCTATTAAACTAAAAGGAGAATATGTTAAACTTTAAGAATGAATAGGCTCTGATTTACTTTTTGCTGCTACTCTCCCGCACCTCTCCTTTCCGTTGTAGCTTACCTGGAATTATTTACCATCGAACAATATCTTTTTCTTTCAAACCCCTTATTCAGAGTGCAATCCTATTGTAGGTACTGAAGCAGAAGAACGGGAAATATGGTGCTGCTGGTATTTGCAACGGCGGAGGAGGTGCATCTGCCCTTGTTTTGGAGCTTTTGTAAGCCACTTTCAAGTCAATAACTGGTAAGTGTCGCGTGTTCCATGTAATTTTAGCTTGGTGGTCTTGCTCTTCTGCGAAACGAGAGTTTTTCATATACTTGATTTGTATCCTCTGAATGTCGATGTCAGTTCGCTTATCAGTATACATGACTTGTGTTTCAGGTCAGAATGGCTGAGGTCGGACCTTGTTCGTGTGAGAGATGAAACTGATAAACCAAATATTCAAGATATCTCTCCAAGTCCGAAATGCATGGTAAACGTATCTCCAAGTCAGCCACACAAGTTGGATACTCTTCAACCTCTTCAACAGATAGCAAGGAATCACACTCCTTCCTTATCTAAAACTCATGTGTAACTTAGTTTTGATTTTCAAATGTAATCAGATGATATGTAACCAACCTCATCTTGTAATCTCTATATAATGAAGTCCATACCTCACTCATAATTAATTGAGTTGAGTTTATGCAATCTATGTTTACAACCCTAGCTTAAATTCTTTCATGGTATCTCTGAGCTAAAAGTCTAACGACAGATTTTTTTTTTTCTCTCCTCACATGGCTTCTTATTCTTCCTCTCCCATTCCCCTCCCAAATGTCTCCAACTTTCTCACGATCAAACTTGATCGTACCAACTACCCCCTCTGGCACGCCCAAATGCTACCTCTCCTCCGTAGTCGTAATCTTGTTTCCTTTGTTGAAGGAACCAGTAAGTGTCCTCCCGCTTTCCTGCAAGATGATAATGGCAACATCACTGACAAAGTCAATCCCGACTTCGACACTTGGATGCAACAGGATGCCACTGTTCTGTCCTGGATCAACTCTTCTGTTCACCCTACTGTACTTGCTGCTTTAATTGGGAAAACTAGCTCCCATTCTGCATGGACAACCCTACGTGATCGATATGCTTCTCAGTCAACCGGTCGCCTTCTCCAACTCCGCAGTGAGTTAATGAATACCCACAGAGGTGATTCTTCCATCTCTGAATTCTTGGATAAAGTTAATTGTCTCGCAGATACTCTCTCTCTCTCTGGTGCTCCTGTTTCAGACTCCGATGTTGTTGCCATTATTCTCAACAACGTAGGCCCTGCCTATGAAAGCACCGTTGTCTCCGCCCAAGCTCGTGATGAGGCCATTACCTACAGTGCTTTGGAAGCACTTCTCCTTGGCGCTGAAAGACGACAGAAAATGCATTCTGCATTTGGTACTGACAACGGCCTCACTGCCCTTGTAGCAGGCCGCAATGGCAACCGTGCACCTACATCTTTTCGGGGACGAGGATCCTCTCCTGGGTTTCGCGGTCGTAGTCATTTTCCTAGTGGTCGTGGCTCTTCAAATCGCCACTGCAACTCTCCTCACTTTCACCAAGGGTCTCACTCTAATCAAGGATCCCACTCTCAACATGGGTCCAACCCTCACCCAGGCTCCCACTCTCGCCAAAATGATGGGATTCTCGGCACCGCTCCTTCTCAAAGTCCTTTCACTAATGGACGCATTCAATGTCAAATATGCAGTCGTCATGGCCATTCTGCGATCGACTGCTTCAACCGCCTAAACATGTCTTATGAGGGCCGCGTTCCTGCCCCTCGCTTGCAAGCGTTTGCTGCTACGGTACCTTCTGCCTCTGCCACAGCACCTGCCATCCAGGAGTGGTTGTTTGACTCAGGGGCTAATGCTCACATCACAAATAATTCTGCCAGTCTTTCGAATCCTCATCCTTATAATGGCATGGACCAAGTCAATGGAGTTGTTGGTGGAACAGGTTTGCCAATTTCACACATAGGGACCACTTGCATTCGTACACCTCACTCCACTTTTAGCTTACCTAATACACTACTTTGCCCAAATGCATCCACCAATATTATATCCATCCATCGCTTTACCAAAGAAAATAATTGCTCTCTAACCCTATATCCTAATTCGTATTCTGTTCAGGATCTTCACACGGGGAGGATACTTTTACAAGGCCCGAGTAGAAATGGATTCTACCCCTTCTCTGGTGTTTCATCAACAAATAAAGGCGTGTCTGCATTTTTAGGTACTAGAGTGTCCAATTCAATTTGGCACTCTAGGTTAGGTCACCCATCTTCTCATGTTTTGCAAAGTTTGGTTTCTAGGAATAAATTGCCCATTAAAGGCGTTGTCACTCGTGAGTTCTGTCACTCATGTCCCATGGGTAAGAGTCACAAGTTACCTTTTCAATTGTCAACTTCTAGGTCTTTGTCTCCATTAGAATTGGTTCATTCCGATGTATGGACTTCACCTTCATTTTCTATCAATGGTTTTAAATATTATGTAGTATTCATTGATGATTATTCCCGCTACTCTTGGCTATATCCATTAAAATTAAAATCCGATGTTTTTTCTACTTTTGTGTCATTCAAGAAACTGGTTGAAAACTTGTTTAATACTAAACTCAAAACACTCCAAACCGATGGAGGAGGAGAGTACGTCAACAATACTTTTAAAACTTTTTTATCTCAACATGGAGTTTTCCATCGCTTTACATGTCCACATCATCCCGAACAAAACGGCATTTCTGAACGAAAACATCGTCATATAGTTGAAACTGGCCTCACACTCCTTGCTCATTCATCCTTACCTACTTCATTTTGGGATGATGCTTTTCATACAGCAACTTATTTGATCAATCGTTTACCAACTAGAGTTCTCCATGATGAGTCTCCATTTCAAAAGTTGTTTCACAAATCTCCTAATTATGCTTTTCTTAAAGTTTTTGGGTGTGCATGTTTTCCCTATCTTCGTCCCTATAATACTAATAAGTTACAATTTCGTTCCAAACGTTGCATTTTCTTAGGATATTCATTAAATCAACATGGTTATAGGTGTTTAGATATGTCCACAGGTCGCATATTTTTGTCACGTCATGTCTTATTTGATGAAACCATTTTCCCCTACAAAGAATCCATTTCTACAAAGCCTTCCTCCTCCCAGTCATCTCTCTCTCTCTCTCTCTCTCTCTCTCTCTCTCTCTCTCTCTCTCTCTCTCTCTCAATTGCTTGAATATTGTTTTGTGTTGGATACTTGGTAACTTGGATGCTTGGTACTGAGCAATAATGTGGAGCTAATGGCCTGTACGAACAAAATTGTAAAGGAAAGTCGAAATACGGACATGCGGTATTCTTAAATTATTTTTCATTTTTAATTTTTCATCTTTTATGATATGAGAGGACAATGGGTCTATATTTTGTCAATAATTGCATATAGATAGTTGCGTCCATTTTGTTGGAATAACTCTTTAAGTTTAACTCATATAAATATGAGAACATTACATATTTGTGATGAGTTCGACTCTTAATTGTGATTAGTGATGAGTTCGACTCTTAATAGGTGCGTCAATTCCTCTCTCTCTCTCTCTCTCAATTGTGATTAGCAATGAGTTCGACTCTTAATAGTTGCGTCCATTCCTCTCTCTCTCTCTCTCTCTCAATTGCTTAAATATTGTTTTGGGTTGGATACTTATTGAGCAATAAATTGAAAAGGAAAGTCAAAATACGAACATGCGGTATACGTAAATTATTTTTCATCTTTTATGATATGAGAGGACGATGAGTTTATATTTTGTCAATAATTGCATATAGATAGTTGCGTTTATTTTGTTGGAATAACTCTTTTAAGTTTAACTCACATAAATATGAGAACACTACATATTTGTGATGAATTCGACTCTTAATTGTGATTGGTGATTGACTATTGCTATGATATAATTGATGAATTATCGAATTATGAAAATGGTCCCGCAAATATCCAAATGCAACTTCAATGTAACAAGTATTTTAACTGTTAGATTTGCTTGTCATTTTATATAAAAATGAATAAACGCAATGAACATTCGTACTTTCGTTTTTCAATTTTTAACTTTTTGGTTTTCAAAACAACATTTATATTAGAACATTCTTGAGGGAGGGTAATATAGTCAATACAGTCATGGGGAAACAGACAAAAGCTGTATGGGATGCATAGCTGGAAGCACCGCACACCATCTAATTGGCTCTTCAAACAGTGGGCCCCCATTAACCACATCCATCCACTGGCCCACTTCATACTCTCTCTCTCTCTCTCTCTCTCTCTCTTCCATCGAACCCCACCTGAAAAATTCAGGACTCATCAATCCATCATCATCTCATTCCATTTCCACACCACCTTCATTATTCAGACCCCACCACCTCAAATACCTACAACCAGAGCATATCACTCGCCGTTTTTCGTCGCTACTCTCAGAAATCTCGAAGCAGAACTCATGGGGGTATGCAAGCTAGTCTCTTTTTTTTTTTTTGTCTTTTAATTTAGTTATTGAATTTGTATCGGTGTATGTTTCCGTATGGTTCTGTGTTTGATCTGAGACTCTGAGTTTTGTGTGTGGAGCGATTCGATTCGATTCGTTTCCAGCTCTAGCTTGGTGGTGGAGTTGAAATTACTGTATTGTCCTTCGTCCGATGCTTTCTGCTGTCATTTCATCCTTCTGGTTTCTAATTTTTCAGCAGAAGGTTGTTCTGTATGAATATCATGTATCTAGCTGGTGTTTGCTATCTGGGGTCACTTTTGCTTTCTGGGTTTTTATATTCTGTAGATAAAGTTTGTATTTTTAGCTTCTCGTCTGGTTTATACCAACCAGACTTTTGAGTATTTGGGAATCAAATTGGACGTTGTATGTCTGTAGATTCGACTTCCCCGATAAGTAGCTTATCTGATTGCTAACTTGTGTGAAAAACTCTCTCTGTGTTTGTTGTGTTGAATGGTCAAGTGTAGTTTAGTAGGTTGAGTGCTCAATGGTTTAGATTTTTATGATTTAGATGTTAAACACTTACAACTTGGAGTACTGGTAGACTTAGAGTACTTGGATCTAACGGAAGACTTAGCACAAAACCGAGCACAGTGACATTCTAGGATTCATACAGCCGACCCCACTTAGTGGGATAAGGCTTTGTTGTTGTTGTTGTAGATGTTAAAATCTTACAATGGGTTCTTACCTGAGGGTGAGCCTAGCTCAATGGGTAAGGTTTGTTCTGTTGCTTAGTTGCAGGTCAATACTCAGAATGGTCGAATGGTCGGGGTTTGGTGCACTTGACTGTCCTTACAATGGACTATTACGTAGTATCCTGTGTAGTGGTTATAGTGTCACCCAATCTGACTTTACAAGAAGAAGATTTCTTTCTGTTCATTTTAGGCATGTATAGAGTTGATAGTAGATCTCTTACAAGCTTGTCGAATTTCAAACCTCTTCTTCTTTTTGGAATACCTTCATATTGAAGAATAATTACAGGCATCGGTGTTTGTAAACCGATTCATGAATACACTTGACTTTATATATCTTGGTGTTGTATTCTTATGCAGTAGGATTGAGGATACAGTAGGATTCATAAGCTGTTTTTCTGCTGATGCGTGGGAGCCAACCTTCACCTTAATCTTAATCATCTTCGTTACTTGGATTTTGTTTTCCTTCATAATTTCATGCAAGAACATATGAATCATTGAACTTTGTACACAATTGTGTTATTTATACATCTCAATTTGGTATGCATTGACTTTAGATGATTGATTCCCTTAATCAAAATTATGTAAATCCACAGGAAAAGGGTGTACCGTTGCCAAAATTTGGTGAATGGGATGTCAATGATCCAGCATCAGCTGAGGGATTCACTGTAATCTTCAACAAGGCTAGGACTGAGAAGAAGACAGGTGGCAGACCTGACTCACCATCAAAGGAGGATCACACATATAAGCATGAAGCAGTTCTCGGAAAGCCTCCATCTGTAAGTTGGATTCGCTGACCTTATAGTTCTCCGCACTTTGGAATGCCTTTATCTCTTTTATACTTGACGCTGTCTGTATTACATAGTCATATCTTTCCCTAAAGCCTAAAGGGTGGTTTAGGTTGAGAACATAGAAGAATTACTTGGACTATTACGAGCTTTGGATGCACAGTACATTAGAATCTTTACATCTTTAGCATCACATTTTGCATGTGACTAAGTTTGCATTTAATCCTTTAATTTCAAAATCTTCTCAACGTTTTTGTTTCCCTCTAATTTGGATTTTTTGGGTGCTGAGTAGTTGTTATTTTCCCAACCAATCTATGTCCAACTGGGAAATTGTGGTTTCACAATATACATAATATTCTTCATTCATAGTAGTGAACTGCAAGTGACCTCAATATGATTTGACAACTAATCCAAGCTTAGGGCTAGTTATAAATCTTTGTTATACATGCCCCTGTGGATAATGCATATTACTTCTCTACCAGATCGCTAAATCGCCTTAGCACTTACCTTTTCCTGTCTAATTAGTTTTTGTTACGTGCAACTTTTATTCTCTCGACTTTGAAAATGTCTGCATTCACCCTCACTGAACCATGTTAAACAAATTTCTCTTTTGCTGTCCTCACTCTGGTGGCACCCGTTGATTTTATAAACCTATCTGTTTTGTATTTTTATCTTTTCGCTTGCAAAATTTTAACATCCTGATTTTGGTAAAGCATGAATCTTGCTTTGTTGAATGATGTCCAACTAAGCTGGCACCAAAAATGAAAAAGAAAGAGGGAAAAAGAAAAGAACGCTGCCGGTTGATCTTAAGCCACCCTAACCCTAATGTGATGAAGAAAAAGATGATAGCTTCAAAAATATAATGGTTGGATTTTTTATGCTTTTCGTGCTTTGATGTGTAGAAAAAATGGTTTTGCTGCTTGCGTGCGGAGTCATGAGGAGGCACGTACCATGTCATAAATTTTACAGAAGATATTACTACGTATCTATGCCCCCCACGACGATATATATTCCAGAAGACTGGAGCTGTGTTCAGAAGCCATGATTGGTCCCGCTGGAATCTGTTTGCTGTCCTTCTGAACATTGGTAGAAATTCTGGGCTTGTTTTGGGAGATGAATGATTGAAAAATGTTACTGTTTTATGTTTACGTAAACTGGTGAACTATATTTGCATGCAGCTTCCTCATCTTGAATCAATGCTTGACTCTGAGATAATCGTGACTGTTTGTTTCCTGTTATCGATTCAATTTGCGTTTCGTTCATGTTTAACTGCATATATGTGCACTGTGAAGCTTTGGATTCTAACCTTTTACGATTCAGTGATCCATTTTTTTGGTCACAGATAAACTCAAGATCTACAGAATTTTCAAAGGAAAATTAATGAAAATAACTTGAAAACTTTGAGTTTTAACGATAATGACAAAATAAATAATAAAGTGAATAGTATCAGGATTGATTTTTTTAATGTTAAAAATATGATTTTTCGTTAAAGTGAATAGTACCTATTTTCTATTTTCAATCAGCACCTATTTTCAAGGCCAAAGCTATCAACCACTCGGGCATCTCCCTGCAAGAGAAATTTCTATTTCATCACTAGTGTTCATAGCAAACGTGCTTATAAGAAGTACTTCCTACACAAGCAATCCCGGACAGCCCCCAAATAAGCATCCAAAAAATCTGATAGTACCAAAGGCAAAGCGTCTTGGATCTTGCTATCTCCAGTTAAACATGTAAGCTACCATTAAAACTCAAGGCAATAAGCAAAAATACCATCTTCAAAATATTAAAACTCGAGCCAATGGTTTCAGTATATAAACATTCTTTCCATTTTCTAAATAGCACAACCAGTAAATACCCCAAGGCACGTAGACAACCGACTAATCTAAACTCTAGAGGATCCAAGCTTGCGTTCAAACAAACGTTTCAAAAGAAAAACTTGCAGGCAGCTAGCTCCAATAAGCGCTGCTGATTCTATCAATGCCTTGTGTGTTGCTCTGCGGCTCATTCCTTCATTCACTGCACGAAAATCCAAGATCAACAGATGCAAAATCAGCTACTTCTTGAAGTAATACAGTTGAAGTCGTATTCATAACTTTTAAGTATCGTTTATGACTTGATCTTAGCTTTGTGTGCCCGTGTATGACATGCAGATGCAAGTTCAAAATGATGTACTCCTCGAATTACTATAGTTGAAATCATTCTCGTATCTTGTTAAAATCGTTTATGCAGCCCGACTATGCATGAGACTCCCAACTTCTTTTAAAGAAAATAAATTAAAATTTGACAGAGAAAAGACGGTTCTTCAGATTAATACCTATTGCCTGGCGGTCAGTCTCAGCTTCTAACCAATGTTGTTCGAATTGGATGTTGTAGAGGGCTTCCTCCAACTTTTGTATCTGCTCCAGCAAGGGTGTGAAATGCTCTGCATAAATTCAAATAACATTCAGTGATCATTATTCCGCCATAAAGAAGACTCATCCATAACGGAAATGGTAATAACAAGTGATGGCCTCTCACCGTCTTTAGCATGCTGGTCATAGTATGTAAAGTGAGCAGCATGTACATCAAAGTCAATGGTTTCGTGGTAAGGAGACTTGTTAGTGAAGCAGAACTGGTGAACACCTTGCTTCTGAACCACAAGGTCATACTTCTCGCTTGTCTTGTCGCGTATGTCATGAATTTGTTCGCCACCAGGTCCCTTTATCTGATATCGGCAACATAGTTCACAAGTATAAGAAAGATTTCAGAAACAGAAACCACTACCATCATTATTGAACAAAAAAGCAATGTCCTAACCGAAAAACCAATTGGGACGGTCTTATATACCAACAATAACAACATTCTATTCAATCTACCATTTTATTTATTTCTTTTTCTGATACAATCGATATTGGGCAAACACAGGACCTCATGTACAGGATATATATCATGAATGATCGTAATGGGTCGAGCTACATGCCCCGTTCTTTCCCCCTGTTTTCGAAACAGATTATGTTACCCCTTATAACCAACGAATCATAAATGAAAACCCGCAAGCTTAATCTTGCATCAAAATTCAACTTGCCAACAACAACAAGCCTTATCCCACTAACTAGGGTCGGCTATATGAATCCTAGAACGCCACAGCGCTCGGTTTTGTGCCAAGGCAGAAAAAGTATTACAAATCAGCAACAACCATTAAATCCTTCTCCACAACAAGATCAAACAGGCAAAATTCTGAAACATCAAACAATTGGGAAAAACAAACACATATGAAACATAATAGTATTCACTCATACCACGAGATCAACGCCGTCGTCGGTGTAATGCCAGGTCGAATCGACTTTGATTACCACGAAAGAGACGTGAATCGTGTCTCCCATGTACTTTGCATCATGAGAAAAGCACTCTTCCCTGTCTATCACGAACCTTAACCCTAACGACCCTTCTAACTGGCACAGAACCAGAAAACCCACCAGCACCAAACTCAGGGACACGTGTCCTCCGCCCCAGAACTCCATCTTCTTCCCTGCAAATCCGTCAAATTTCCAGCACACAAAGTCAACAATCACGGGGTTTTTAGTCACAAATAATCGTTACCCAGATTGGTATCCCGAGATGTAAATACACAGATCGAGAAGAACGTGAAAATTTACCTCGGAAATAGGTTCTGGTTTTGTATTTGGCGGAGGCTTGAAGTTTTTGGGATTTTAGGATGAACTGGGATTTGGGAAGTGCCGAACTCGAACTCAGCTGTCGGACCAGGCACTTCTTGTTGAACCAGACCAGAATAAAAGGACTAAGGACGATGTCGTTTCGTTTTCATATGGAAAAGGATGCTCTCCGATTCCTTCCACCAAATCCACTAAGTCAAGGGATCCCGGCTTTTGAAATTTGATCCAATTGCTAAAACCATGGGCCTCTTTAAAAATTATAATAACTTTAGCCGTTAGATCAAATTTCAAGAATCCAGATTTTTTGACTTGGTGGATTTAGTGGAAGGGATCCGAAGAAGATCCCTTTCCTTCATTTATGGGCTTTAGCCAGCGAGGCAGGGTTTGGTTCCCAATAGGATCCTCATCAGATTCTCTTTGTGAGCATTCAGGAGATTCGTGAATGATGTCCGTTCATCGTACATCGTACGATCAGTTTTTATCAAATATTATTTGTGTTCAATTTTAACTAAAAAATTTAAAATAATTTCTGACCATACGATATACGATAAACGGATTCTCAAATCCTCACAAAGAGATCCGGATTCAGTGTGATTCAATAGCTTGACCCACTAGCCAATGGGAACACTCCACATAGGATGATGTTTTGCCAAGTGGAGAAAGGAAAAGGATTTGACGATCGTAACCATTAATCGTCATACAATCAGAAATCATTTCAAATTAAATTTAAAATTTAAAATTTAAAATTAAATATAAATAATACCTAACGTAAACTAATTGAATAATGTACAATGAACAATCAAGATCACGAAATCTTAAGATCCCTTAAAAAAAATCCAGCGTGGATCCTTTTCGGTGAAAAAAAAAAGCACGAATTTCGCTTGCGTGGGATGCGATATCAAACATCGCCATTCTGTTAGAATATATATTTTTTGTTTATTTTGGTAACTCGAGTGATTTGATGATATTTTCCAAAAAAAAAAAAGAGGAGCGATTTGGTTCAAATTTGGGGTCAAGCTGCAATGCTACGTGAGATTCGGCTACAAAACTATGTCCCACCATGCGGTACGGATTTATGCAAGAGCTGACCGTTTCCACTTTTATTAGACTCATGTATCCGTTGAATTTTCCAGACCACTATCTTTGTTCTCTTCCTTATTCTTTTCAGTTCACAAATGATCGATCCATCGTTACGAGATGGGATACACCACAATGGCATTTTTGTACAAGTCCGCCCTCGCTGGATCTTTTGCCATCGCAATTAGCATGGAATTTTGGAAAATGATTTCCTCACTCATTTTTTCCCTCCATGCACACCGCTATTTATCTTCTAATAATTCGACCGAATAAGGTAAAGAATAATCAAACAAACAAAAAAAAAATGTGTAGGAGAAAAAAGTTAAAGACCACACGTAATTATCCTCAAAGCAAATGCACCAACTGATATACCAGATTTTACAGCAGAAGCATCACACTGAAAATTCACAATTTAACCGAATTCCAAAAAACCTTCGGTTCAGCCCAGATTTTACAAACCAAAATTTTAAGTACATCCATGTACCTTTGATTCAGCCCAGATATACATATAGGAGGTGGTCGGAGGTGCCTCATTTGCTCGTCACGTTTACATTTTGGTGCAGTCAGAGTGCGTCGCCTTCGTTGCAGATAACACATATCTGCAACGTAACAAAAAGTATTCACAAGGACTTAAGCTTTAAACGTTTGTCATCTCTACACCAGATCAGACAGCTGCAAGATCCTTCCCTCTTCAATAACTAATCTCTGCTGAATCATGCATTGATGCTTGGCAAATTGCTTAAACAACTCACGTAGCTGCTTAGCCTGCTCGTACTCTTTAGTCCCAGAAACGACAACCTTCAATTCATTGCAAGTTCTAGTTCTGCTCTCTAATACTTTCTGCAAAATCAATAAGAACGGTAATTTTAGAGGAAACCCGGTGCTTTTATACACTAGTTATTTCATGTTCTATCAGGTTTTCGTGCATACAGTAGTTGCGTCCAATGATCAATGATTAGTCAACGAAACGCTCTGGCTTCTAGAATGACATTTCACCGTTATAATCATTAGCCGCATACACATGAAGAATTAAAGGAAACTGACCTGAGATGCAAGTGCGAATGTTTCAGTCACTGCCTTTAGCGAGTCATGTAACGGTAATTTTTCAGTCACGAACCAAGGCCTGTGGAGAAAATACAAAACGATGAAAATTTTAACAATCAATCAACAAATCAAGGGGTTCAGAATGCCAAAATTTACATCCAGGTTCCAGCTGGCTGTTTAAGTTACATAAAGGCCGTAAAATCTTTTGCTTGGATATCTAATTACTAAATTTTAACAAACACCATTTTAAGACTAGTTTGCGTGATTTATAATTACTGGAAAGAGATTTACACTATACCTTCCTCCCGAGGAAACAATGATGTGATCTGGATTCTCCAAAAAGGCCAATAACTTGTCAAAGTTCCTTTTGCTGTGCAACAGAATGCCTCCTCGTGCATATATCTCTAACAACTTACTTGGCGAAACAAATGCTTGACATGAGATTGAAAGTTGTTGATGAATAAACTCCATAATTGTTGATGGCAATAACCCCTTCTCAAGATTGTCTATGATGATCATATGCGGCACCCCTCCAATATCTACGTCATGTCCTGTTCGTTCATATACTATATACAAGATAAAGTAACCAATAGGTTTGACTAGTTTAAATATAGTACATTAATATGTGGAGAATATTCACGGTGATCAACTACTTCCAACATCAGATTTCACCGAAGAGCTTTATTTAATCATCCATTCAAACTAAATGGATCATAAATTTAGATTTTACATTCACCTTTGCCTTTGAAGAGTAGTTAAAGATTAAAAAAAGAACTTAAGCAAATCAGTACAAACCTTTGACATGACCTGAGGACAACCTAGAAGGCCTTGTTTCCTGCAAAAAAACGGCCAAGCATACGAAAATAAAAAAAAAAAAAGAAAAAAAAGCCCGCATCAATCATCCAAACAATATACCACAAGCATTCAGCACACATGTAAAAGACGAGGAGCCACACAAAGTTCCTGTCAGGTCTCAAAAGCTTAAGATTTTCGACAAACTTGTCAACATCCATGGACAGGGGATCGGAAATCCCACTACAAACCATATAATTAAATTCCCAAACTCTCAACCTCCCAAGTCAGCTCTATTTCACTCACTCCTGTTCTGCTTACAATCTTACAATCTTGCACGCTATCGGAAACTCACCCGCGCAAATTCTCGTTTCCTCTTACATTAATCTTGCACACTATTAAATACCACCAAGCAGTCTATATATTATTATCATATGGGAAAAATAGAAGAAAAAAAATCCTTCAAAAATTAGGAAAAATTCAAGAACAATAACCCCATCCAGCAAAGGAAAGCAAACTCAAATCGAAATGAATCCAGACTAATTCTAACAAAGATCAAATGCAGCAGGCAGCAGCACAATTCCAATTCAAAAGCTAAACATCTTCGTACACAAGTAACCAGAAACTTGCCTGATTTCGGCGTTGAGGAAAGCCGGGGGGCCCATTTCGGCCATTGCTGGCAGCAGCAGCTTCAGCAGAACTCACATTCGAATCCGAAAAGCCAGTTGCTTCAATTCTCTTCCTTACCAAGTTCAGAAAAGAGGTGAGCAGTGGATTCAGTTCGCCATCAGCAACCGGAGGCAGGACTTTGCAAATGTGCTCGAGAGCTTTGGCGGTCAGCGTCCTGGCGAACGGACCGTGCTGCCATGAGAGGATGAAGGTGCATGTGCATTGTTCTTCTCCGTTTGCGAACACATGCTTACTATGCACAACCTAATCATCATTACTCACCGATTAATCACCTAATCAAGCCATGATTAAGCAGAAATTAAGACTACAGAGAGGCGGAGGGAAAATTGGGAAAAAGGTGACTGACGTCATCCACGACGGCGTCGTAGAAGCGGCGATCGTCGGGGAGAGCGGAGTGAGCGGCGCAGACGATCACCCCCCTGTTCACCTGAGAGCACTCCGAGTCCTGAAGCTGAGCCGACATGGACCTGAACCGAGATCCTCAACTCGGCCACGTCACTCACCGACCTGAAGTCGTTGGCGTCGACGAACTCGTCCTGGTCGTCGCGGAACCCGGCGAACTTGACTCTCAGTCTCATGCCGTCGCCGCCACCGCCATTGCCGCCCTCCGTCTCGATACTCACGTCGTACCACGCGTCGTCCTTGTAGGACCTGAACTCCATCGCCATCCGCGCGTCGCCGTTCCGCCACCACCTTTCTCTTGGAAAATCGACTTGCCTGCTGCTTTTGCCTTTGTTGGTGGCGTTTCGCTTCTTTCGGTTACGGCTCGCTGGCAGGCGTGAAGCGCATGCTATGCTGTGTCAGCGGAGCGACCGCAACTTTGCCTCCATGACATCATCATCATGCGCTCACTGTAATTTTCCCACTTTTTTTCTTTTGGATTTCTAAAATTCACTTGAACAATAATTGAATAATTCACGAGGGTGTGTGAATAATTTTGATGTAATGCATATAATATATTTATTTATTCTCTTATTCAGACGTTAATGTATATTAATTTCGTCGTCTATTTTATCATTTTATTCAAACGTTAATTTTTTGTTAATAGCAGAATTGGCAAAATTACACTCTCAATAAACCTACAAATGAATCGAACGACAATTGCTATCATCTGGATGATAGACAAAATATTGACATAAGGAGAAAGAGGAGAATTTGCCATAATAAGTAGTCAGTAAACAATATTAATGAACTTTATTGATAGACGGTGAGTAAAGAGATGTTTGCATGTATACTGACACGTCATTTAGTGAAGCTTAACATTATTGAGATCATGAGGGGAGAGGAAACTATTGTAACGTCAATTAGGATTTGAAAATTTTCCTTGTTAAGAGTACAAAACAAAAATGCTCTCCGCTACGAAAAGGGGGTATTTAGATGGAGAGGATCCTCTTTGGATTCCTTCTACCAAATCCTCTCAATCAATCAATCTGGGATCTTAAAATTTAATCAAACAGCTAAAGTTACTAAAAAGGCAATCCTAGTACAATTCACTTTACCCTTTATTTTGTCATTATCGTTAAAACTCAAAGTTTTGAAATCATTTTCATTAGTTTTCCATTTTATTTTTATTAAAGGATTGTTTGTAAATATTTTTGAAATGACTAAAAGTGCTTTTAGACAAAATGTTTTTGAATTCCAAAAGCACTTAAATGCACTCTGCAAAAAGCACAAGGATCAGTCCCAAAAACGTTTTCACTAAAAATGATTTTAACCATTTTAAAAAGCACTTCTAAACGAGTCCTAAAACACATTGAAATTTGTCCTACCATTCAAGTCTTTCCTATAAAAGCAGTTGGAAGTGCTTATTCTCCAAAAAGCAATTCTATAACACAAAAACACTATTAAAGTTAGGGCTGGAAAAAAATCCCGAAAATCCCAAACCAAACTGAAAAAATCCCAAACCCAAACCGAAAAATCTCAAACCGAAACTATCCCGAACTTTGGTAATCCCATACCGAAAAATACCGAAATATTCAGTATGGAATTGATTTCCAGATTTCTTTTCTTCGGTATTCCCGAAGTCCCGAAATCTTCTTTTATTTGTGGTTCCTACTTTCCAGCGCTACATCTGCAAAGAACAATGAAAAAATAAAATAAAAAGCAGAGCCTTTCGGTTCCACTGGCAAAGGAACAAAAATAAAATAATATGGAAAAGGCATGTGATGGTGATGCCTTGTCGGTTTGGGATAAAAGCACAAAGCTTTTTTGGAAACTAAAAGCACAAAGCTTTTGTTTTGGTTTTGAATCTTGATTCTTGAGGCAGAGAGAGAGAAGCAGTCTTCGTGTTGGGAAGCAGAGATAGGAAGAAGCTCTCTCGTCTCTGGCCTCGACCCATTTCTCTCTCTATCCTCTCTGAAGCTCTCTCGTCTCTGGGTTATGAATCCTCAGCGCTGCGCATGCACGATTCATAACCCACAACAAATAATTCCATTTGATGATCACTGAAGCTCGAGAGAAAAAGATTGGATTTTTGCATGTGGGTTCTGAAGGATTTGTGCAGAAATGGCATAAGAACATGTGATTGTGAAGAGGAGTGGGTGTGGCCGTGTGGGGTTGGGAGCGAGGTGGACTCAGAGTCGCCGCCGTGCTCGAAGAAAAAGATTGGATTTTTGCATGTGGGTTCTAAAGGATTTGTGCAGAAATGGCATGAGAAGATGTGATTGTGGAGAGGAGTGGGTGCGGGGTTGGGAGCTAGGTGGATTCGGAGTCGTCGCCGTGGTCGTTGCTTTCTGAGAATGGTGGAGGTGGCGGAGGAGAATGGTATTAAGATCTCTCAGGAGGAGGCTTGTGAAGAAGCCACTGGAGATGGCTGGTGTTGGCTGCGTCCTGAACCGTACCAAAAAACCGAAAAATATTCGGGAATACCGAAATAATCGAAAGGCAAAATTTCGGATCGGTTTCGGTTGCTAAAATCTCATCCCGAACTTTTTCAGTTCGGTATTTGGTATATAGTTTTCGGTTCGGTATCCCTATACCGAACCACCCCTAATTAAAGTCTCTTTGGGACTACTTCAGTAAGGCTAAAAGTGCTCTATAGCGGTAAACTATGTTAAACTTGTTCCATCAAGTTCATTAGAAAAATTGTACCTTAGTTAATGTAGGACTGGCGTTTTGCTCAAAACTTGGCACTCATTGTTTGGCTATAGTTCCGCAACAAGTTTAACAATTTTCCTCGACAACTTGACGGAATAGGGTAACCTAAGACACAAAACGAAAGCATAAGGGATCGAAGTCACACAACTGCAAGTTTGGAAAAGTGAGATTCTCGTCAAAGCGCACGAGCTAGAACGAAAAACTGAGTTACAAATCTCTCTATCACAACTCACAAGCAGCTGAGGCATCCAAACTTATTCCACTTTACTCATTGACACATAAATACAATGTCACATTCTCAGGTCCAACTTAAGTCTCTGTTTGAACTTTTTTCGGTCTCCCTAAAGTGACTTACAAGGAAATGTCTTTACCGAAAAGTTCAGCTATTCCCTTCTGAGGGTCATTCTGTTTCACAATCGACTCTCCTACCAAAACCGCTTTGACACCAGCTTCTTGTACATAGGCAATATCATCCGGCGTAAACAGCCCAGATTCTCCTACCACAATGATGTCTCTCTGACGGATCAATTCGCCACGCTCTCCTTCAAGAAGCTTCTTTGTGTTACTAGTATCAACCTTAAATGTTTCTGCAGTCGAATCAAATATAAGGTTATCATATTGCGATTAAAGTTCACACTGCAATACACAGCCCGATTTGACAGATAGCAAACATGAATATCGGCAGGTTCAACGTCATCCCCTTCTATATATAGCTTGCCGACCCATCTTATTCAAACCCTATCAACATCCTCACTTAAAAAGAAATTAATAATTTAATTAATATAAGAAGACTGAACTACCAATTATGGTGCCTGAACCACACACAGTCATTATGCCTATAATAATGCATATTAGGGGGCAAAAGGGGAAGGTGTTTTGAGGATCCTATCACAAATTCAAACAGGAAGCACATTATTGAAGGCTTTCAAAAAGCTCCCACATATTACTGCAAAATACTGGTTGACGGTTAATAACGTTAGTCTTTCATAAATATAGATAATAGATAAAGATGAAATGATCAGCAAACAGCCATATTGTAAATGACAAGAAGTATCATAGCATAAGCCAATTCACAGAGCTTAGGAAATTTTACCAAGATTGCGGTTGTTGATGCCAATAAACTCAACCCCCTCAATGGCCAGAACACGGTCCATTTCCCTCTCATCATGCACCTGTAACAATGTAACACACAAGATGTTTCGGGATTAGATTTCATTGGATATGGTTTTTTCTTTTTGACAAAAGGATACACATACACACGCACACACAAGGATATGTTGTAACTGATGCATAACTCTGTATCCAAACGAAGCCCAGAATAGGCCAGACATTAAAGAATCGTAAAATCAGTCTAACTCACATAGACAAGGGCGGATTTTCCCAGTTGAAACCCACCAAACTTCCAACATACAAACAGAAGTACAAAAAACTAATAATGGAGAAAGAAGTGCAACTCAAACCTCAACAAGTGTTGCCATGCCAAGCATCTTGCAGATCTTTGTCATGTATTTGATGTCAAGGTCAGGCAAAACAGCAGCAATCAAAAGAATTGCATCTGCACCTTTGGTTCGAGCATAGTAGATTTGCCAGGCCTCAATGATAAATTCTTTGCACAACAGAGGGCACTACATATTTTGCTAGTGTTAGAAGAATAATTATACCCAAAGTACATCCTAGCATGTGCAGAATACTACAAAATGAGGAACACTGCTTACGGACAAACCTTAACTCCAGCATTTCTTATCGCCACCATATTTTCATAGCTTCCCTATATTTATTGAGCAAAAAGCAAGTGAGATACAGCTATAGTTTTGCTTTTAACGTCAATGACTTCTAAGAGAGATCAAATTGATTTGCTCACCTGAAAATACTTTTCATCTGCCAAAACACTAAGACAAGCAGCTCCCCCTTTTTCATAAGCTTGTGCAATTTCAACCTATCATGATAATTTATAAAAGAACAAGAACTGGTGAGATTGGGGGAGAAAATCATTTTCACATACATAGAACAATGACCGGGGGCAGCTATCCCCACTCAAGTTCTCTTTTCTCAAAAGTTACAGAGTTATATTAGAAATGAATCAACACACACATGCATACAATGCTTTTGTTCCATTACAAGGAGGATAACAAATACATCCTGATCAGAATTACAGTTTTTAAGGTTTGAAAAATAGACAATGATACTTCCTCTATTCCGATGAGCATGAATTCATTAGTTCAGCACACTGAATCTCATACAGGCACAACAGGAATAGAAACACTCCCAAACACAGGAATAAGGATGAAACAATGCAGACTTACCGGATCAAAATTTTCTCTCAAAACTCCTCTACTTGGGGATGCCTTCTTCACTTCAGCAATCAAACCGGGCAGACCAGTTCGTGAATGTGCTGCCCTCAGAGCTCCAACAAAATCCCTCACAGGAGGAGCATTGTCAAGAGCTTTCTTCAATGAATACAGAGGTTGCCTCTGCTTCAACTGAATCAACATCATTAGCAGTAGCCAAATTAGTAACACATCATATATACAAAACTTGACCAAATCACTCTGCTTTTTTTTATCCAATTGGGTCTTCAAAACCCCCAAAACTTTTCGATTTATCGAACAACCCAATTCACCAAAAACACAAAGCTGATGACTTTACCTGAGCAACTTGAGTGTCCTTGTGCCATATGATCTCCTCCAGAATATTCCGGGGAGTGTTGCCCTCGTTCTGCAACCGGAACTCGAAAGGTCCCACGTAGTGCTGAGGAGGTCCTGTGGGAGGCCTCCTCCTGATTCTAATTCCCTGACTCGCAGCCACCTCATTGTGGTACATACCCACCTCCCATTCCTTGATTTCTAGCTCTACTTTCTCCGGCTCCGGTTCGCCTTCCACTGCAACCGCCGACGGCGGAGTGCCCTTAGACTCCATCTAATAAAAGACAAACAATTACCCATAAATTCGAACACCATTTCAATGCAGTTCAAAGTAAAATCCAGAAACTGTAGAAGAAAATTAAGAAATCTGAAAAACTAAGAACCTGCTGAGCTCGAACAATAGAGCAAGACGACGACGGAAGAGAGAGCGAGTTCACTCTACGCGCGTCGAAAGCAGAGGCGGAAATGGGTTTTCTGGGGCGGGAAGAGAGAGAAGCAACAGCCCGGAAGGAAGCCAAGCCCTCCATTGTTGGATGGGGATTTGCAGAGCCAAAAAGAAAGGGAATGTCTTTGGCACTTGCTTGGGGCTATGTGCTGGAGAAAGTAAAATTATCTGAGAAGTGAGAGTTATAAGTGGTAAGAAAGCATTGGTCATTAGGAATTATTAGGATTAGGGTTTATGATTAATTAGGAATTTGGGGTTGATTGTGAGAGGTGGGGTGTATCATGTATGTGAGATTTGCTTCCATTTTTAGAATTTGATTTATGTTTTCAGGTGGGGTATTCAATTGAGAATTGAGAGATTTTAATAGATTTATAAATCCATAGATTTTTATGGAGTTTTAATTTATTTGTAGATATTTCATATAAAATTTTGATTCAATTTTCTCGAAATCTCATGGAAAGATGTGAAATTTGTGGATGCTTAAAATACACTACGAAATCTTTTCAATTCCCTCTAATTCTTCAACTTTATCAAATTCTTTAAAATCAAATTCTAATTGAATACACCTAGAATGTAATAAACTTCTTTAAAATCTTAATTGAATACACCCAGATTTCTAAAGATTTTAATAAACTATTTTAAAATTTTAATTAAATACACCTTGAATTTCAAAAAATCATTTAAAATTCTGATTGAATATCTCTAGATTCATTAACAGAATTAAAATATCTCAAAATCACTATTAAATACATTATTTTACTTTCCTTCTATTTAAGGATTTTTTTTTCCTTTTTTGGGTAGATTTAATCATTTCTTTTTTGCTTATCAGTTTTTTTACAATATTTCATTCTAAATTATTTTAATTTGAGTAGTGTTGTCCACGCATTTATTTTTATTTTTCACACATCCTTTAATTATCAATCAACCAAATTAAAATTAAAAAAAAAAAAAACAATGACAAAAAAAATAATAATAAGTGTGAAAAGTAAGCCGTTATACTTTTTTTTTGCTCCACTCAACAAAAAGTGAAAACCGTTATACTTTTATTTTGGTGAGTGGGAACGTTATACTGGTTTTCTCTATTATAATTTATACTTCATATTTTCAACAACTATATTTATAGGAATATAATTTTCTCACCTCCTATTCCCACTCTTTTCCTTTTCCTCCTCTCAAACTTTATTTTTTGTCTTATTTTCTTTATAGAAAAATCAATATAAAATATTGACGTGATTTAATCGTAATTATTTGAAATGAGAAAATGAGAGAGAAATTAGGAAAGAAGAGAATCTTCCTCCATATTTATGAGCTTTGAACTTTGAGAAAGTGGAAATGGAGGAAGATTCTCTACCTTTATATTCTCATCTTCTACCATCATCTCCTCTCACACATTGTTTTTTGTTTATTATCTCTATAAAACAATCAATATAAAATGTTGATGTGACTTAACCATGGCCGTTCAAATAGGAGGACATGGAAGGGTATAGAGATTAGGAAAATAAAGAATCCTCCTCTAGTGGAAATTGGTTGACACTACTCCCAATAACCATTGACCTCAATTTTTTATATTTTTAACAATAACAAAAAAAAAAAGATAATGATAGGGAGATTAAATTTGAAGACTAAATTTGCGAATTAAATGATGTGTCACCAATAGGAATGAACACGTTTATCAACGTTTAAATGATAAACCAATCATTAACTTCCATGTCCTTTAGTTTTCAAAACTTTGTCTACAAATTTAGTCTCTCTAACATTGTCCAAACAAAATTGTTACAACATTTTCAAATGAGATGTCAAAAAATCTACGTGGACGGTTTGAAATAAAAAAAAGGAGATACCAAAATTCTACATAAATTAACATTCTCCACTTTGCTGTCAAATTTAAAAGCAACGTAAAAAATTTCTTTTTGTTTTATTTAGTGATGAGCCCACATATTTATTTATTATTAAAGTTTGGGCCCACTTAATTTTATAAATAACCAAAGAAAATTAATTTGACATTTCAGTTAGAGTAAGCAACTTTAAAAATGTTATTTTGCCACAACAGCTATAAAAACAAAATTTGACATTTTAATTTGATATCTCAATTATAGATGATCATGTAAATAAAATCGCGTTACAACGACGGATAAAATTTGGCACCCTGGCACTTTAACCAACTACATTGATGAATTTATTGAAATTGGTCCAAAGGTGTGGTAGCTAGCATGAAGGTGGAAAGAGAGTTCATGACACATACTATAATACAATCAAATCAACCAGAAAAACCTCAAAGTTGTAGCATTTTTCTTGCTTCCTTTGGTAGTTACATGTTCATGGCATCGTATGAATTAGAACCTCAACTCCTTTCCAAATGAAGGCTGTCTCAATTGATTTGGTCCCAAAAGTCACAAAAGAAATGCCACTAGATGTAGCTTGAGCAAAAAGGGCAGGGCTCATCAGAAATCCCAGCAGCACATCATGCTTGCTTGAAGCTCTTCTCACTTGAAAAACTTTCGGAATCCGTTGAAGATTGTTAGAGCTTTCAGTTCACCGCTTCTTATGTCCCTCAATCTCCTTCTCAGTATCTGAAATCAGTCACAACTTCGTATCAGCCAAACAAAACAAGGCAGATTTTGCTATGAAGCACAACAGTAATGCATAATCCTTGCAGAAGACATGCAATCTCAGCCGGAACTTTTATTGTTTAAGTTCTTGAGCTCATAAGATCAACTCATTACTCATCCACAATTTTCAGTTATTCTTTTTTGAAAATCTCCGGTGATCACAACGCTTTCAGCTAAGGTAAAGCAGAAACATATGAGGCACAGAGCACAGAGTGAATCAAAGAAGCATTCACAAGAGCTGAGCTGTGTCAAAACTTAGAGTAAAAGCACACAACAGATGAAACCTGCTTCAGTCTTAGTAGAACAATCAATCTATAGAGAACGAAAGATGTAATTTTCTTACATATTGGGCACGAAATAGGATTCTCCGCTCACTAGTACTCAAGTCTACCGCTAGCTGTTTCAGAAACAACCTTCGGTTTAGTTGCTTTGGAGACGTCACGTCCAAATCCATGGATCCACTTGCCTGTCAGCGAAAAATCAATTGTGGGTTTCAATGTTTAAATCTCTCAGCTTCAACCGATCTAGAGTGTTCATAGAGTCATGGACAGATGTAGAAATTCTGTTGCAAATTAGTCCCTCACCTGTAAGAATTTGTTATACTTTGATATGCTGGCTTCACAGGTGTCCAGTATAAACTGTAACGCTTCTTCCTCTATTTCACTGTATTGTAAATCCTTCTTCGCTGTAGATTTGTTTGACGCTGCAGCAGCCATCTACAGTAAAGAACTTTCAGATAATGTTCAACAATATGGAAACTTTGATTAACAATAGGAAGCTAAAACTGTTGCACCTCGTCAAATTGTCCCCTCATACTTGGAGGACTCACAGCTAAATAAGCGTACGCCATTAGCTCCAATGGCCAACCGGTGATTTGTATAGGATAGCACTGAGATCTGCTTGATAAGGTATCCCAGATTGGTACAACGTAAAGGAGGAACATAAATTTTGGAGATTCAACTGAAAGAGGGAAAGGAATGGAAAGAGTGACTGAAGACTAAGCATGATTTTTCTGAGCTATCGGGTACTCACGCTGACAATCCATACTTTCTCAAAACTTCCAACTTCTCCTTATAACATTTGTCGGATTTTGAAAGCAACAGTGGCAGCTCAACAGAATCTCTAGGGTTGGTGCCCTCCCTTGGAACAAACCCATAAGATAACAACAGCTCTCCGTTAGATTTCTTTCCGTAGGAAATGAAAACCTGCATTAAGTGACCAAAAGCATCACTAGAGGTCTTGATTTCTTTGCAACTTCAACAATGGATTTAGACCTAAAGTTGTGAAAAAAATTATTGTTTACCTGCTCACCTGGCTCATATGCCATATCTGTTGAAAAGACAACTCCCTGTGACGATTTATCATAATCCAAGAATGCGTCTACCTACACCAGTCAAATTAAGATGCACAATGCGAGTAAAATCTGTGCAGCTCATACTTCGGGTTGTGTTTATTAAAAGAGACTCATTGACAGACCTTACAACTATGATTCAGCATATCTGCCCAAGGAACCAACGCAACCTTTCCACCCAATGAGGGTAACCGAACCTGTGCTTAGGAGAAAGAAGATGTTGAGGTCATGTTTTCGACAAATCACTGTGCTTACGAAATATCCAATATCAGACTTCAGCCTACTTCTGGATTTCATATCAGAATTTTAGACCTAGAAGCAGTAACTAGAGAAATTTTGAGTAATTCCTTCCAATTAATTGACGGTGACATCATTACACATCATAAATTTGTGTACTTTACTTATATTAACAACCAAATCGTCATCATCATCACACACTGAACACAATTTGACACCATTCTGCAGATACAGAAACAAATTTACGATGGCAGTGTCATTATCAACAGGACTAGTTAACTCACCAAGCGGGAGAAAAGAATTCCAAATGACCATTTGAAGGTTTCAATGTTGAACACCTGTAAACAAAACATGGAGCGGAGTAAAAGAAGTTGCACATGGTGAAAAACTGAAGAAGATATGTGGCTATATTCAACACTAGCTACACGCATTGAGCTCATCGTTTAAGTTTAATACCTCTTCAGGAAATAAAGCAGGATACTTGGAAAATATCCTCATCCTTAAATCGTTGTATCTGCACCAGAGAGGAGTAAGTATTCAACTCCATAACTACGAGATCATGATTCATGAAGTTGGACTCACGGAAGCACTGTTATCATTCGAGAATAACATACGACAAATATTTCAAATGAAGAAAACTACACTAACAAATACAAGGCCATACGTTCCAACAACATTAGTAACTCTTTCAATCGCCCGCTGCCTGATTTGTGATGCTTCCAAATACCGGTCAAGTTCTTCACGAGTCCTGAAAGGATACATAAAGGCTGTAGAAAAATCTGAGAGTAGACTCTTCCCAAAGTAAATGACAGACTCGTAAAATTCCGCCATCAAAACATGGACAGGAGGTAGTTACTAGTTAGTTAGTACTTACCAGTACAGAAGGGAATAAGGCTGTCTTGGTAGGGCAGAGATATAGTTGCTCCATCGAGAAGATTGAAGGTAACTTGCTTCACTAATCAGATAGGTTGCCAGAAATGGCCAATCAGGTACACCGTTTTTCTTCAACACGTCACCAGCCTCACCGCGAGTCCATTCCTAACATTTACAAACACGGCAAAACAAGCACTTTCAGAATGGCTGCACTAGGAATAACATTTGGCCGAAAAAGTTAAAATTGCTTATGGGTTATAAAAGCACTTAGAAGCGCTTTCTAGAGAAGCACCTAGTTTTCAGAAAACACTTCCAAATGCTTTTTCAAAAAGCACTTGAATTTTTAGTAAACATTTAATGTAATTCTATGATAGCACTTATGAGCAGAAGTGTTTTCTAAAGAAGCATTTTCAACTGGAGTTGTACGCATTACACATAATTACTGGCAGTTAAACCACTATATTAAGGGACCCGCGTCAGGCCTAAAAGCACTTCTGGAAATATTTGACAGAAATACTCTAAATCTAAAGTGCTTTTGACAAAAACACTTTTAGTGCTTTTGAATTACAAAACACTTTTAGTGCTTTGCCGAGGAGCGCCAACAAATGTATCTTCAAGTGGCACTGCTTTACCAAGAAGCACTTCCAGGTAAAACCGCTTGTGAGGAGAAGTGCATCTTACATAAACACAAGTAAAAGTGCTTTCTAGAAAAGTACGTCCAAACAGGAGTGTCCAATTGGTGCACAAAACATATAATTACCGGCATCCAAATCACTACACAAATAAAAAACAAAGCAAATTTAGAAGAGTCTTACAGAGTCAGCAGTGATAAACAGAGAGGGAGGCACAAAGAGCAGCTTCTCCCCCTTCCTTATATTCTTCAAAGCAACCAGTCCCCTCTCCCCAACTTCCACTTTCTGTATCGCCATCTTCTGCGGCGGAAGCCCCGAATCAGTCAGCCATTTCTGCAGAGCAGAAGCGTTCTCCAAGGAGTCAATGTCGCAGCCCCACGGAATCTTCTGCGCCACCGTGGCTTGGCGCCGTCGGTCGTGGAGACCGAGCACTGAACTGGGTGTCTGCGGAAATTCAATGGAGCGACTGGAATGTGTGGATTTTGTGTTGGTGATGGAAGGTGGGGAGGAGAGTTGTCTGCAGAACTCTTGAAGCTTCAGCCATGGCTGACGAAAGCTCAGAGAGTAAAAGAGAGGAGCCTTATCTGAGTTTTATGGGTGTTTGGTTTGTGGTCGTTTTTGCCGTTACGAAAGGCGCCCTTTTGTTACCTTCCTTTCCTCATTTCTTTGTCTTGGGGTGAAAATGTAATGTTGGCATTTTATAGCAGCAATCATCGTCTTACGAAGACTACAGTTTAGTGACTTTTCAATAAAAATTTTACATGAGTGGATTGCTGAGTTTTATATTTGTATAATTTACCCCAAATCCGTCCGCCCCATGTAAAAAATGGGTTGTGTTATCCACACACATTTTTTTACTTCTTACATACCCTTTTTTACTTCTGTCCTTTGATCTTCTTCAATTTCTCTGATTCGACAGCCGAAAATAAGAAAGATGTGTGAAAAGTTAAAAAAGTGATGTGGATATCACATCCCGTAAAATATAAGGGTCAAGTTAGTCCTATCGTCAATTTTATTAACTTCTCTTTGAATACTAGGGGTAAATTAGCCATTGCATTTATCATATTAGACATTTCGATGTCACTCTTCAATATGTTTCACTGTTATATTATCGATACTTCAATTACATAATTTTTTATATTATAACGATACGTTTGATTAAATGATGAAATAGTCACATGTAACATAATCGGAGCATGCAATAATTTATAAACTAAATTAGAGGACGAAAACGAAACTCGAGTATATGTTTAAGAAGCATTGTTAATTGAATAGGGGTGAGCATAAAAACCGCCAAACCGGAAAACCGAATCGAACTATAACAAAAAAAGGGTAAAAACCACGTCGACCAAAAAAGTCAAACCAGAACAAAAACCGAACCGAATCATTTCAAATGATTTCGGTTCTAGTTTGAAAATATTAAGAACCAGACTGAACCGCTTTTAATATAAATTATTTTTATTTTTATATTTATATTAATAAGACATTTTTCCAAGAAGACCATATACATAAACCCAATATTGTTCTTCACTTCTCTCCCCCTCTTTCATTGTTTTATCACTTTTCTCTCCCTACATTATTTTTCTCCATTTTTTTCCAATATATTATGCATTATGTACATTTTAGTTTTAATTTAAGATCTACGCTTTGGTCTTGATATAAGCATTTCTATCTTTTGATTTATATTTATATGCCCACTTTCTATCTTCCGATCACAAATCTTGTAGATATAGTAGTGGAAACTCAAATTTACTTGAATTTGTGGTTGAAATATGTGTTTGGTATTAGAAGTAGAAAATTAGAAAAAACCATATATATAATTTTGGTTAGAACCGTAAACAGTCATGAACCGAATCGTACGGTTTTAGTAATAAATTTAAGCAGAACTGCACTAAGCCGAACCATTGAAATTTTCCGATTCCGATTCCATTTTGAGGGTGGAACTGGGCCGAATCAAACCGTGCCCACCTCCTACATTTCATAGTTCTTTCAACTTTTATTTTTGGGTAAATTACATAATACCCCATCAAGTTTGGGTGCAATTACAATTATATACATCTTTAAAACATTTCAATCTCATACATTTACTATTATTTTTTTTCAATTGCGTACAACCGTTAAAAAATCTGTTAAGTTAACCGTTAAGTGATAACGTGACAAATATAAAGTTTTATTTGTGATGACGTGGCTGCCACATTTATGTCATATGGCTAAACATTTAATAAAAAATTTAAACATTAAAATAATTAATTAAAGAAAAAAAACACAAATCTTCATCTTCTTCTTCCCCACATGAGCCACCCCTTCTCCCACCACCACCACCACCCCTTTCCCCACCCGAGCCACCCTTCTACCATAACCACCCCCATCCCCCATCACTTCCGCACCAACAAAGCTTCTTCCTCCAGAACTACCACCATCAATTTCCTCATCTACAAAGCCCGGAGCAACCCAGAAAACCCCAAGGCCTCACTATGAATTTTGCCCCACCTTCCTCACCACCTCAAACCCTTGCCTCGATTTCTTCTTCCAAGTCGTGTCCTCACCTGCTACCCATTTCTTCCCCCCATCTGCAACCCAAACAACAACCAGCAGCATGATCAAACAACAACCCCTCCGCCATAAAAAAAATATCCATATTTGTTTTCAACACAAGAATCAACCAAAAAAATATATAAGATCTGAAACAGATTACCCATAAAAAAAAAAATAAAATAAAAAAAAAGAAAGATGGAACCTATTTCCCCTCCCCTACAAACACCATTGCTGCCCTCCCACTTGATCCCGGCAACCTCCTCCATCTCATTCTTTTCCTCATTCTCTCACTCTAACCTCGAATTTGCGTCGATCGGAACCGTGAGACGCAGCCAGCAACGAAATCGAAGGGGAGTTTGGGGATTTTGGTATTCGACTGGTCGCTTGGAACGAAATCGAAGGGCAGCGAAATCTGGGTTTTGGGGATTTCGGCTTTAGGTTCAGTGTGGCTTCGTCCAGCTCACCTTCGACGACTTCTGGACGACCTCTGCCTTCCGTCAGAGGTTTAGATCTGAGTGCGGCTTCGTCGAATTCGAGGTTGACCTTCTGCTGGGACTTCTGGTCCTTGAGTCGACCAAGGGGAGATGGAAGAACATGAAGAGATGTTAACAGAAGGATTAACAACAAAAAGAACGTTGTATGATATTGAAAAAAAATAATAGTAAATATATGATATTGAAATATTTTAAAGATGTATTAGATTATAATTACACCAAAACCTGAAGAGATATTATGTAATTTGACAAGATTCATTGAATTGTATCCGTGACAACGATTCGTGTTGTAACGACCATTTGACAAAGTTGTTACCATACAGATTCGTGGTCTCGTGTTTGTGCTGTAATACTGTTTTCGAACACAGTTACGTAAAGTTGTGCTAGAGCATTATGCCTTCTAACTATCATGTGAAACATGCTAGACCTATTCCTTGCCCATGAAGGCTTTAGCCACATACACGCATCAAACTAAACATCTGCAACAGCAGCATTGAATTACTGGAATATCGAAAAATTAAACCGAAAAAATATCTAAAAATCAAGAACAATGTAGCACAGCAGAGTAGAAGAGACATTAGCGTTCGTGTTCAAGCATACAACTTGTTGAGCTCATTTTTGAACTTGGCCTTGATCTGTTCTCTCTTAATCTTCATAGCAGCAGTAACCAATCCGGACTCGGGCGTCCAAGGCTCGGACAGCAACCGAATCTTCGCAGGAAGTTCGAACTTATCCAATTTCAATGCTTTTGCTACCTGTAAGGATGCTAGAAATTTATTTATGGAACGAAAGGATTTCAACTCTTGCCCAATCGTCTACTAGGTTATAAGGATGGACGGACTGACCTTGGAGAGGGATTGCTGAACCTCACTGACTGTTTCAGCTTTTTCACACAGCTCGGGAAAATCATTGTACTGGACACCGGCTTCCTGTGCCCACTTCTCGAGGGCCTGACGTGCAGGGACAATTAGAGCTACGCAATAGTTGTGTGAGGGATCTGCATATGCCATGATGTTGTCCACATAATTACTTGATGCTAATGCCGCTTCAACCTGCAGCAGGTCAGTGACGAATTTAATTAGTATTCCGGAGAAGAAAATTTATGGGGAGCGTTCATTTGGAAACATAATTTATCAGAAATAGTACGAAACTTAAAAAAGGCACCTTTCCAAGGGAAATGTACTCTCCATGCTGGAGTTTAACGATATCCTTCTTCCTATCAATAATTTCAAGGCATCCATCAGGATGAAACATTCCAATGTCACCGGTATAAAACCAACGCATGCCCTTCTCATCAACCTGCAGCATGTAGCAAGTCATTAATCATTAGGGCCTCTGAGGAGTGACGATCATGAAGCAAAACATGTACACACACAAAAAGACGTACAGGATCTTTAGAATTTTACCTTAAACACCTCATCAGTCTTTTCTTGGTTCTTAAAGTAACCAGCAGTTACACTGTATCCCCCGACTACAATCTCCCCACGAGGCATTGGCTTGTCAGATGGCAAGTATCCTCCTTCTTCCCAAGAAACAAGCTGCATTATCAAATAAGGATAACTGTCACATTGAACTCTTCAAAATCCTGCCTGGCACATCTCACATAATATACGACATAAAACCCTTAAAACTGTACACCATCATGCCTTCTCTTGTTTTTCGACCTAAACAAGAACATCTTCTCTTGTTCAGTGAAACTAAATTACTATATTTTCCTACTCATATGATGATATATCATCCTGTAAATTCTCTCCTGTTAAACATCCTGCTCTGATCATAAACTTGCAGCAATTTTTTTTCCAGGAATTAGTACCTTAATGTATCCACAAGGAAGGGGAGGACCAACACGGCCCACAGTTGTGTCATCCGCCTCGGAAAATGTAGCTCCAGCAAATGTTTCTGTCAAACCATATGCTTGCCCAATAGGAGCCCTGTTAAAAAACAATGGCATGCAAATTAAATACGTTGCATACTTGATAAGAATCAACAGAACCTTTGTGACAATACTGACCGCACATTAATAAAACTAAAAGAATAGGTATAGATACTAATCCTAACACAGTAGAAAGATCAATGTTGATTCTAACTGTTGTAAACAAAGAGATGTTAACCCATTGGACATATCGTGTTCTGTTACCAATATTAGAATAAGAATATAAAGCACTTCCTGCCATGAAATTTCATTTTCCTTGATCAGATATCTGGTTATCTCGAAGGAAAAATAAAATGAAAATAGGTTATTCTTCCAACTATCTGGTTATCTCAAGATGAAAGAGCAATTACCCCATGCAAATATTGATGAATCGCTGTGAATCACCAGACAAAGGAGCGCCACCACAGAGCATAAAACGAATGCGTCCTCCAAGTAATGAGCGTATTTTTTTGAAGACAACGACATCCCACAACATCCTTTCCAAACCCCAAGCCCCAAACCAGCTTCCTTCTACAGCCGCCAGTCGCCGTCTAAACCCAAGATTAAAAAGATTCTTAGCATAGCCCCCTTTCTCATCAACCTGTAATACACCGTAGTGATTAGTGCAAGCTCAACCTTTGTGCCTGAATCTATATGAGTGAATAACAGATGCTATACAACCGCGTACAAGGTGAACAATATCAACTTCACCTTTTTCAGAACTCCATCTCGAACACGATCTAAAATAGCAGGAACTGCTGTCATGATGGTTGGCTGTAACATAGTTGCATCTCCCTTGGTTCCTTTTTTAACTTTATTTGAAGTGTCTGTTAAAGTCAATGCTGAACCATAACCAATTGAACAGCCTGCAGCCAGCATCACAGACTGGACAACCACAACATGATTACAATTTAACATATGTACTGTAGTAATGTAATACAAATACGAAAACAAGCGTACCTCAGCTGCCAATTCAAAAACATGAGCCAATGGCAAGTATGCCAGGTAGACATCAGCACTACCCAGACTCGGAACCACTGTCATAACCGCTGCGGTAGTGGCTACAACGTTGCCATGAGTTATCATGACTCCCTATATCATTACACACCAGATCGTGTCAAAGGAAAATAAACAACATTGGGTTTTAGAAATAAATAGTCATGTTCGGATACATCGCACACTACGTTATTCAATTAACGATGATGCCACATGGCCAGATAGAAATTATTAGATCATAATAAGTACTCAAGTTTTTAAACTTTGGGAATCTACAATTTTGAATCTATAATTTAAAAGAAGACACTAATAAATATTGTTTTTCACAGATGGCCAAATGGACAGATTTCCAAGACCATATTCTGGATCAGCCTCACTGCTCAAATAGAAAACAATAAATTTGCAATGAAAGGCTAGTGAAACAAACCTTCGGTAGACCTGTACTTCCACTTGTATACATAATAACAGCAATATCATTCTTGGAAGGTAAACTTGGAGGAACACGACTCTCTTGTCCAAGCTTCTCAACATCAGAAAAGGATGCAACTTTCAAATCGCCCATACTTCCAGATACGCTAGCATCTGAACTTCCCTCATCTTCAAAATAAATAACATTTTGAATAGTGTTTAGGCTTGAGGTTATAGCAGCCAACTTTTTCAACTGCTTGGAATCACAGATCAATGTCGAAACTTGGGTCTGTCAAAGTATAAAAGCTCTATATGAGGACAATCCATGTTCTCCATTTTCAGTCATTATAGGTAAACAGTACTATAGCCGGTTAAATAAATTTAATAAACTCATAAAGAATAGAAAAGCAGGGATTTTGCCACACACCTCATTGAGGGAGTGAATTAACGCTTCCTCTCCTAGTGAAGCATAAATGGTGACAACGGTGATATTTTGCCGGAAGAATCCCTGGAATCAAAACCAACTAATTTTAGAACTGGCCATGCACTTGCAAGTCCTTAGACAAAAAATAGAGAAATTTCCAAGAACGACAACTGACACCTCAAGGCAGACAAAGAAAAAAAATAATGAAAGGTACCTGAAAGGCTATAAACCACTCTGCGCGGGTTTCTGAAAAAATTGCTGCACGGCTATCCATATTATGACCTAACTTAATAAGCCCAGATGCAAAGTTGCAAGCACGATCAAACACTTCTCCATAAGATTGCCATTCATAGTCTCCCATGTGAAGCTTCTCAAACTTCCTTCCATCGCTAGCTGTAACAAATTCCCTTCCAATAAACTTCCTTGTTCCAAGAAATCGATTATGCAAGTACTTTTTACAAGATTGTTCAAAAAGGGCTGCCATGGTTGTGGCTCCTTTCTGAGGAACTTCAATCAACTCAGTTTCTCGAGCATTGCGCATTGCATAACCTGCCTCACCACTAACTTCAACTGGAACTCCTCTCTGCTTCCCCCTTTTCTTTCCCCCAAACAGAGTGGACAGAAATGCAGGTATAAGTATGGCAACAACAACAGCACCAACAATGCCGTATGTTCCATAGCCTTTCAGAACTGACAAGTGATCATCAGCAACCATGTTGTCTTGCACCGACACAATTTTCTCAGAATCCTCCATCACTAAATGTTTATTAATAACAAATAACTCCTCCCTCAATAGACCGAATAGTTACCTAATATAGATGACACTGATTAGTAATATCATCAATAGCTACAGGCAGTTAAATAAGGAAATAAATTCTATTGTTAGAAAAAAATTGCAGACGTCCACTAATCTGTGTGGACGAAAAAAAGATTGCAATGTCTAATGGTTAGTGTCACTACTATAGTAGTATTCCATCTATATCCCATGTACACAACATATAACTAAATCTGATTCCACCGTACAAGAGCAAGTTGTCACCCACATGGAATGCACAAATGAGAAGTGCAACATCATCGACAATGGAATTTCATAACTTTCTTCTCAGCAAACCACCGAGCCGATTCTGCAACTTCCACAGTTACAAATAAAAACCCGAATTAATCCAAAACAACTTCCATCCAACTGAAGAACTCCTCATTTCCAAAACACTACCAACCCGAACAAAACAATACGATCAAACAGTGATACCACACGTAATCGAAACCCAGATGGCAGAAAGTCCATATATTTCTTCCTCCGGTATTAAAATCAAAGAATATAACCCCAAACCCATGATCTAAAATTGTTGAATTCGATCAAATGCTCACTCGAACATGAACAGGCAGGCAGCCACCCCACCTCACTATTAGCAAACACAATCAACAGATTCCAATACAATATCACAGAACAATAATAAATCAATAACCCAATTTCCACATAAACCCACAGATTATCACACAAAAGTATTCGGCATCAACTAGAAAAAACAATCAACTTTTAAATAAACCAAATCTTAACAAAAACAACAGTATTTATCATCACCAATAGAAAATAGTGCAAAAAATATATGGGTCTGGGATTAAAAGATGAAAAAACCCCGAAAAGCTCACCTCTGGAATCGAAGAAGGCGATTGCAATGGAGAAGGAACAATCTTTTGAGCTTGGAAAAAAGCAGAGCAGGGTATCGAAGGTGGCAGCGAGACAGATTGCTCGGCTCTGATTTTTGCCTTTACTTTTATGCCACCGTATTTATGTAAAATTACGAAAACGACACCGCTGAATTCAATGGACTTTAGAATCAGCGAGGGGTGGTTTCGGTAATTTACTTCGTCGGACATGGTCTCCGTTTAGCTTCCAACCGTAGGGTCCAAAGTGCAAAATAAAAAGAACTTTGTTAAACTTGTGAAATTCATCAAATTAATTGTGAAAAAAAAAATTTATTGATGGTTTGTCTTATTTGGATTTGTCATGTAATTTGAGTCCAATATTTTTTAAACAAGCTCTTTTTTTTATTATCGATTGTTAATTATAGATGTAATTGAGATCTCGTAATCGTAATATTCTATTATAATCTTTGCAAAATCGGATGTTTCCGGAAAAAGAGAAAATAAAATAGAACACTCCCAGGGACATGCAACTGCCACGAGGCGGACGGCTGGCGTACTGAGTGACGTATCGAGAAGTGACACGTGAGCGATTACATAACCAGCCATTTTACTAAGATTTTGTTATCTGGCTTCGGCATTTGTCGTTCCACATATATTGGAGCTTTTGATATTAATTTGGTAAAAATATAAAAATAAACTTACGTAGTCTCAAGCATTCGGCGTAATTTAACGAAGTGGACTAATCCTAACAATGACTCACAAAATTGTATTTACATCAAATGTGTTTTAGTCCAAGCCTTAAGCCGGACTAAATACAAATCCGGTTTAATATTCTGAGTAAGAAGTTCCAGTTTGATATTATTTTCTAGTATGCACAGGTCTATCGCATAATCCGTAACTATTGAATCCTTATCCATCATCAAATCGTTAATTTGTCCAATGCACGTCGTACACAGGAGCATAATAAAATTTTCGCATATGATATTTACTAATCTCTTGATCCCTCACTCCGTAATTTAGATTATTTTAGAATGCCGCTCGAAACCAAAAAGAAACTCGGTATTTCTTGGGACCCTACCAGGACATGACATTCGTTTGTTACTGTAAATCCTGTATGATTTGGCGAAAATACAAATCATACAGGATTTACAAAGAATTAGAAAACCTACAATGCGGTTGCATTAACCAAGCACAAGACTCAAACTGTCTCTTAGCCTATTTGCTAGCAAGGGAAGCAAGACCAACATAATTTCAACCAAATCTTATATCATTCAAATTATAGGCCTGTTTGGAAATGCTTCTTTAAAAAACACTTATGCTCATAAGCGCTTCCAGTAAAAGCACTTCTTTTTGGAGTACATCCAAATGTTTAAGAAGCACTTTCAACTTTTTCTGTCAAACATTTGGTAATCTGAAAGGAATTTTTGTAACCAAAAAGCGTTTTTAGTTATTTTAAAAGCACTTCAAAACATGCCTATAATATATCTAGACATATTTGTATTAGTTATGTCAACTCACTGAAGGTAGCTGCATATTAACAAAAGAGTTAAAACTAATTTGAATATTTCACACTGTGCACACTATAGAGAAACCAATGCAACGAAAGATAATAGGCAGATAACTCTAGTCTAGGCTGATTCTACCAAAAATATGTTACAACATAACAGTAAGTTTCTAAATCCCAACATACGACGACAATAAGATGCCTAACTGATAAACGACAGAGGTCTCTAAATTAGTGATGATCTAACTTTGGTTGTCCGTGCGATAGAGTAGACCATCGAACAAACTAATGGTTGATTTGATCTCCTAGCTTAGAGCCTCTTGCAGTAACCTGCATGCAACACCTATTGGGAAGCTTAAGCATAATTCTACCTTCCGTAGGGATGGTAACGACTACTCCCACCATAACCTGCCCTACTACCATACATGCCTCGAGGCCCACCATAAGTAGCAGCAGGGCCTGAATCATAGCCATCACCAGAGCCTGAACCATCGTAACCACCATAGCCCCTAACTTCATGCCCATATGCACCTAACCCACTACCATCATATCCCCCGCCAAGCCCTTCACCGTAGGAACCAAAGCGACTAGGATAGCCGAATGATGACTCCCCATGATAACCAGAAAATGCACCTCTAAAACCACCTCCAAAATCAGTAGTATCTGGATATCCACCATAATCACCAAACCTACTGCCAAAACGTCCAAGTGACCTATAAGGAGGAGGGCCATAACCACCAGGACCGAAACTACTCATGGGGTCGCCAAATGCACCGAATCTATCATTGTAAGGGTGTGCCCTAGAGTCAGTACCAAATGCAGGAACACGTGCGGGGTTTGAGGCCTTCTTTGGTTCAGCCTTCTTGATCTCAACCTACAATAAAGAAGTGAGTTAACCTAGGCTTTTATACTTCACAAGTTTTCTGTAGGACTTGGATTTATGTAGAGGGAGAAAACCCTGCATTCAAGTCCAGTAGTCCACTAATGATGAAATCCGGATAAAACTAGGGTGACTGAAACTATGACAAATGTATACAACAAAAATCTCACAATTCTGAGAATACTTTAAAGGAAAACCTTCAAATATTCCCTTATACATTAGACGCCCATAATATATAGCCAACACCATGAATGACTGTTGCCAATAACTCACCTGTGTACCTGCCATATCAATCCTATTTCCATTTGCGAGAACATTATCAACAACATGATCGCTGTCAAATACAACAAATCCAAATCCTCGAGGGCGCTTAGTGACATGATCACGTATGATCTCATGCTCCACCACCTTACCAAATTGTGAAAAGAAGCTTTTGAACTCATCTGATATTCAAATGGACAATTTGAGTTAGAAGCAAACAATTCATCAGTTGTGCAACGAAAAATATAGCATTAGTAAACACCCAACAAAAGAAAAATAATTACAACAAACCTTCAGGAAAGGTCGGTGGAATCCCGCCAACAAAAATTTTCTTTGTTTTAAAATCATTTCCCTGACCAGCCCCCTTTGGAATGGTTCTCTTTATCTCAACCTGGTTGAAATTGACCACAAAATTATGTAAAAGAAAAATCATACAGGACCATTGAAATCAATTTAACAGTGGAAACATCAAGGAGCTTTAATCTGAATACAAACTTCACATCAACTGTCACAATTTGATAAAAATAACCTCAATATTTACTACTCAAATCTAGACATTGTACTGCAGAACAGGCCTACATATATTTGCTAATACAAGGAACAATTCCTTATCTTTATGGATATTAAAAGGAACACCAATTCCATATAATGTCCGCTCCATTCATTCTAAATCGCACAGACCAATGAAGGATTCAACACTTAAGTGACCTAAACAATTCTCTATACAACCAATCATAACAAAAGAAGGACGAGGATGCTGCTTACCTGTTTTCCGTTGATCACATGAGTCTCTTCAATTAATTGGTCAACAACAGCAGGATCCTCGTAGGTGATGAACCCGAACCCCCTAGGTCGACCAGTTTCGCGGTCTTTCATGATCACAGAGTCAATTATCTCCCCATACTTCTCAAAGTACTGAACGAAGGTATCTGTAACCAGATAATACAACAAACACATTGCAGGTAGATATGAGCAAAATTCAACGATAACCCATCAAAATTTTAAAGCAAAACAAGGAGACAAGCTGTCAACAAAGTCCATTGAACATCATAATTCACCAAAATTCATACCAATTGTAGTTAAAATCATACTAGAAAGAAAAAAAAACATAACTTTCAAAAAACCCATCAAAATTTCGATGGATAATTTGATAGAAACTGTTAATTAAAGCTAAAACCCCATAAAATCACGGAACTAAAGAAAACCCATCAAAGTTAATAGAAGGAATCTTACTCAAAGTGGTGTCTTTAGCTAAACCACCGATGAAGATCTTTCTGCAAAACAAGAACACACAAAACATACAACGCATTAGCTTATTATCACAGTCGGAGATTAAAGAACCCTTAGAGAGAGAGAGAGAGAGAGAGAGAGAGAGAGAGAGAGAGAGAGAGAGGAAGAACCCGGGGCTAGCACCATCGCCGGAGAGAGGGTTATAGTTACTCTTCTTGTAAGCCATGTCCGTCGGGATTTGAGTGGTCGAAAATCCTGAAATTACCAGCGAATTTTGGTTTTTTAGAGCCAACGAGGAACCAAAAAGTGGAAAAAAAACACTCTGCTCATTATCTATAAGCAAAGCGGAAGAATGCGATCAGAGTTTTAAGGCTAGGGTTGGGCCTGGGCCTTGAGTTTGGGCCTCGTGTTGTTAAATATTGATCAATTTTGTAATATTGTACTGCGTTAAATTAATTCCTAAGTAATTAGAACATCTCCAAACAAAATATCAGAACTGCCACATAGATATATAACAGTAAAAAATAGCAGCAAATTCTTTTCAACTGAGCTTTCGGTTTCCTATGTGGTGCCGAGTCATTTGAAGACAAGGCGTTCTGCTGTCAAATTTGACAGCAAGTGTCAAATCCGTTTAATAATTTTTTAAGAAATGTGATGCAATATATAATAAATGTTGCCATGTGTTTCACGTATTTGGTTAATTTTCTCAATAATTGGACCCTACAAAAAAAGAAATTTTTTTATAAAATGGTATCATTAATTAACATATCAGGTGGAGCAAAAATTGTATAAATATCAAATTGCCACATAAGTCATCAAACATTATTTGGATGTTTTAAATTTGATATCTCTTTTGAGATGGTATTATACTTTCACCCAATTTTCTTTATTTGTCTTATTTTAAAACAAAATTATTATCTTAATTTTTGTCTCAACCCACAAATCACAATTGATACTTGTATACAAGAATAATTTAAAATAATATTATTGGATCATATTATGTTGTGGTAAGTGGCACAATGAAGAATAAATTTAAATCAATTTGATTATTATTTATTGAGTTCCATGGGTTTACAAAAATGTAAGTGCGAGAGTCATTTAACCTTTAGGGGGTGTATTCAATTGAGATTTTGAGGAATTTTAATTATTTTAATGAATTCAGGGGTATTCAATCTGGATTTTAAGTGATTCTTTGAAATTCAATGTGTATTCAATCAGCATTTTAAGATAGTTTATTAAACTCCTTAGAAACCCAACTATATTCAATTAGAATTTTAAAGAAGTTTATAAAATTCCAAGTGTATTCAATTATAATTAGAATTTAAAGAATTTGGAAAAGTTGAGGAATTAGAGGGATTTTGTAGTCTATTTTAAGCATCCACAAATCTCATATCTCCCCATGAAATTTCAAGGGAATTGAATCAAAATTTTACATGGAATATCTACAAATTAGTTAAACTTCATAAAAATCCATAAATTTATAAATCCATCAAAATCTCTCAAATTCCAAATTGAATACAACCCCTTAAACTTTCTCATATAAAATAGGAAAAGTGTTATCTTCTGTTAAAATTAGAACTCAAAGAGGTGTAAGTTTTAATTATTGCATGGCTGATTAACCATTTGTCCTTTTTTTTATTTTTATTTTTATTTTTTCAAACGATATTATCTACACTAAACGGGAGGGAGTGGGCTTAGCCTCATAATAGACTAGCAATAATATGGTCCAAAATCGCCTTTGGCGAGAATTGAACCTAAAACCTCCCACTTATAAATAAAGGGAAATATCATTAGACCGTAGTACTAAGTGACAATTAACGATTGGTCTTAAAACAAACATGAAAGAGGAATACATGTCAAACACACTAAAGAAGTCAACTGGTCAATCAAACATTTATTAAATTAGGACTTGTTTGATAGTGTCTTTAACATGATTGGAAGCAGTTTTGATCAGAGTGTTTTTGAAAGCAATCCTTAGTAAAATGCAAGTGAATCCTAAAAAAATACTTAAAAGTGATTTTGGAACCCGAAAACACTTTCACCAAAAACGTTTTTAGTCATTTTAAAAGCACTTTGAAACAAGCCTTTAATCATATAGTTTAAAAAGTAAATCACAAAAATTATGTCATTATTGCATATATTTTAGGACTTTATTAGGTAGTAATGGCCATGATTTAGAAACATCAACTTTGCTAATAGTCATAGGACATAGATTAACATAATAGGACATAGATTAACATAGTGGGCGTATATTCTTGACCACCCAAACCCCATTAATCCCATCCCATTCCATTGTTTTGTATACGCACGCACCATGGGAATGGTACCTTTTTAACTACTCAAGTATATTCGGATATTACAGTATCTTCAACTGGTCTTAGGACAAGCCAATTAATTAACCTTTTTAAGCTAATTCTCACACGCTCATCCTATATTTTTTTTCATAGAAATTAATATTATATTTTGCAATTTTATTCAAAGCCTAATTTCACTAATATATGGCTTGTTTGGATGTGCTTTTAAAATGGCTAAAAACGCTTTTAGAAAAAATATTTTCGGCTTCCAAAAGCACTTTAAGTGTTTTTCCAATAACTTGCATTTGAACTAAGGATTGGTTCTAAAAACATTTTCAGTGTTTTCAGTTATTTTAAAAGCACATCCAAACGAGCTCATAGTTCCTGTTGTTTTATTTAAATTTTCACTTTCGTTCAAGTAGTTTATTTATTTTTGTTAATATTGGTAGTTCGATCCATAAATTAAAGAAACCATTGCCATAATAAGGAGAAGGAGGAGAAATCGAAACTATTACAGTAATTTAAGAGAGTGAGGAGTTTTGAACTTGAGACCCATAGATAAAAATCCAACACCCAATTCACTATGATATTATACCACATGCAAAGTTGTTACAGTATAACGAATTTTCTCTTATTTTCTTCATGACTAGACTTAGTAGGTTTTGACGATGACCCTGAAGTGATAGTGGTACGTTTCGTTTAGGTTTATGAGTTGTTTACGATGGTAGTTATATGTGTTTTGATGGACTTGAAACCGAGATCATACGTAATTTTAGTGATGTGAGCTTTTTTAGTTGTTTGAGCAGTTTTTATCCCCTTTCATTTTGCATGTTTGGGCTTGTTAGTGTTTGAGTTGTACTATTTGAATTTGAATTTTTTTCAATGTAGTTGTTGTGATTAAAAAAATAAATTATTTCAACGTAATTTAGAATATCACTTTATTAAGAAAAAATTTATATGGTGATATGTATCAGATTTGATTGTCAAGGTATGGTTGAGCTAGGGATCACACGCATTGAAAAGTGCACACTGCATTCATAGAAAGGATTGCACTTGGTCCATAAAATTAACCCTAAGCAAAAACAACACACCCCATTTAGGATATATTTTTGTTCACTACTCTTAAGTAACTGTAACGCGTACCAATTTGTTTATTACTATTAGATGAGTTTAGATTTAACCAAATCTCAAAATTTAAACTCATCTAATGGTGATAAATAGAGTGGTGAACATCACTATCACTTAACGGTGGTTAGCACAAATATTTCCCCCATTTGGGAAATGGAATCAAACATATAATAATAATAATAATAATAATAATAATAATAAATTGGTACATAATATACGGTCCAATCATCCAATGGTGTTTTTATAGGTGAGTAAAACATCTTCGATTCAAATCTCGTAATGACGATTCAAAATCAATTTATTCTCTAGCTTCTTTTTTATACTACTATGTATTTACACTAAATGATAGAAAAATAAATTGGTTCGATTCTCGTTAAAAACAAATTTAAACCACACTATTACAAGTTTATTGTGAAGTTAAACCCATCTCTCTCTTAATATAAATAATATCGTTTGTTAAAAAAAAATACAATTAGATCGAACTAGTAAATAATATTCCACTTGCTTTTGGTGTAAATATCTAGTGTGTATTATTATTATTTTTTATTTCGTAATGAAATAATTAAAATTAAGGAAAAGGCAAGTAAACCAAAAAGCCCTACACTCCAAACAGACTTGCACTTAGCTCCCTCCTCCCCTCTCCCCCTCTCCCTCAACTCTCTCCCCCTTTCTTTCTTCTTCTTCTCTTATTTGTGGCAGATCAATTCGAACAGCCACAAAAGCTTATATTTTTCTCCCTTCGAGAATTTTTTGTTTATTTTAGTCCATGTTTCATATAGCGGCCATCTAAAAGCCCCAATCTTCCCAACCCAGCAGTTCCCTTTCCTTCATCTGAAGTCTCTGTTCTCACATTCTCACATACACTCCCAAGTCTTCTGGGTCCTTTCGCTTTGTGGGTTTGCAACCATGAGTGGCGGCGGGCTTAGGGTTTCAATCCCCAACAGTGTGAGGAAGACGATCCAGGACATCAAGGAGATCACCGGCAATCACAGTGAGGAGGAAATCTACGCAATGCTCAAAGAATGCAACATGGATCCTAACGAGACCGCCCAGAAGCTTCTCCTTCAGGGTAACCCATAATTGCTTTTTTCCGCTTTTGCTTCTCCTCTGCTCGTTTTTCTAATTTGGGATTGTCTTGTTTTTGCTTTTGGTGATTTGGTGTGATCCGTGTGTTAAAGTTTTGATTTTTTTCTTCTGGGTTGTGTTGGTTTGGTGATTTGATTTTGTGTTTGGTTGATTTGATTTTTTGTTTTGGTTGTGTGGGAAGTGGGAAAACAGTTGTGTTTTTTATTTGCTGTAATGGGTTTTCACTGTTTGTGTTCTGCTTTTATAAGGGCTTGGTTGGATTCTGAAATCATTAGGGATTGAGCTGGTTCTACGTTGGTTCTTTGCAATCATGGTCAGGCAGTTCAGAGTGATTACGGCAACAGTGAGATGCATTTGGGTAAAATTAGGGACTTTATTTTACATTAAACTTTGTTTATATTTGGTGACCAGAAGTAAACTACAAGCCTACAGCATTCATTGAAGCTAAACACATGTTCTCCGTTTAGGTGAAAAGAAAAGTAAGTTTAGGATTCATTGTCGTTTTGGTTCAAACTTTTTGAAAGCTACATTCATGTTGAAATTAGTTGCATTGCGGCCAGTGAAGTCATCTGCTTTGTCATTTCCTAAATTTACTCTCCCTTTGGACGAAGAGAAATTGGAGGATTTTTTAAGACTACTCAGGGGTTTGGGCGAAGGATCCCTAGAACAGAGTCGGATTTGGCTTCAGTGGGGTCATTTGTAACCGTAGAGTTTAGGGCTTTCTCTTTCTCTTTTATATACTACTATACTAGATTGGAAGGCCATTGTAGATTAGCTGGTTTCGTCTAGTCTTGCCTTAGAGTTGTGAGTGTTCTAAATGAGGTAATGT